TGAGTTGTTTTAGTTCAAGAACACTGTTTTCATCTAAGGTTGTTTGGTTTATTTGATTATCGCAAAGCCTAGACGGCTATCTGCCTGAGGATAGGGTGGCCTTTGTGGAGGACGTTTTGAGGGAAATTGGCTCGTATACACGCTACACCAACGTCCATGCAGCCAGCCCGTTCGCGGGATTCGAACCTCGGACTGAACTACCAGTATTCAGCGATTTCACCGCTCGGCCGCTGGTGGGCTATCTAAGGTAAAGTTCGTTAACGGAGAAGTGCATATGCCGGTTATTTTTATTATAATATGAGGAAATTTCTGTAGCTAGTATGTAGTAATTTAGGAGTTATTCGGCACGGATATCGCGCAGGAAAGAGCTTGTTTTCCTCGCTTAAATCAACCAAGCATTTGATTGCAGGCTTGTTAATAATTCTGGTCTCGCCCAGTTGTACGCTTTACGTATAAATGTACAAACTAAATGACAAACTCGAACATTAGTAAAACGAGTGAGCAGTAATAACTAGGTTCAACAAGGTTTAGAAGCATTTTTAACTCATTTACTCTTGTCCCTTTTTCGGGGAAAGTGCCGAGAAATTGACATTTTGTACAGTATCCTATCGAAAGGAAAATGTGCTTAGAATCGTAGTTAATACTAATTAAAGAGCAATAACTGTGCAAAACGTTTGATACCGACAACGTTAAGTATTTACATACCAAACTGAAAATACAGAGGTTTAAATTCCAACTTTACAAAACCAGTCTGCACTTACTCCACTTCACCTTATTAGAAATAAATGGAAAAGCACTCAACTAATATAAGGCAGTAAATCCAGAAAATAATTAAATGAGTTTTGAAAGAAAACTATTATTTCTTATCTTACATTAAAATTTGATTCCTAACCTCTGATGAAATTGGAGATAGAATTTTCTCTCTTCTCTTGTGTGCAGAAGTCGCAAGAAAAATTACCTAGATGGAAATGAGTGGAAAACGTCACAGTTAGTTTAACTCCTAAAGATTCTAAAATGTGTTTTTAGAAAATATCCTTAGGATGTACTTTTTGTTATTATTTTCACTTCCTCGGATAAATCCAGATGTCTGGACTTGGTTTGAATTGAATTTGGCTATGTCTCAGAAAACTGCCATTTTCTATTTTCGTATGGCATTTGTGACGGTGATAACTGGTTTTCTATTTACCAAATTTCAATGGAAATCTTACAGGCAATACAATATTCTGCCAGGTTACAATTCGATTATCAGCGAAGTTTTCGAAAAGCCTTTCAAATCTTTCATTCTTTCTGTTTACCCAAAACGGTATTTTGCTCGCAACGGAACTTTATCGAAAGCATAGAATACTTTAGGGTTTCCTTTTATAGCCTTAATACAAACAGCTTTTGTCTGGCATTTCAGAATAATGTTTAAAAAAATATCTCAGAAAATGTTTAGGAAAAATAGCCTCATCCCAGAATTTGTTTAAAAAAAACCTGAATGGATATCGTAGCGATTTAATGCATTTTTAAGAAACAAAACATTTTTCAAATTAGTCTACAGTTGAATAATTGTAAATGAATAGTTTTCTGGCTTTGAGAAATTAATACCATGCATTTTTTAATTTATTCTGGAGCTCAATATTTATGTACATTAAATACACGAATATGCGTTATATACATGAAAAAAGGAAATGTAATATTTATAAGTTCGTCTTACAGAATGCGTCTTACTCATTGGGTAATAAATGTTTTCTATGAATTAAAGATGAAAATACAATATAATGCGCCTTCTTTGACACACTAAATATCATGCTATGAAGATGTTTGTTTGTAGCACTGTTTAAATACAGAATTAATTTTTATTAAATACTAATAGTGTAATTAAATAGCTGTTAAATTATTAAATATTTAACAATACTTTCAAATTATATTAAGTCAGAATTAAACTGCTGACCATCTAAAATGAAACACCATGAAAATATTAATGAGCGTGATAATCATCACCAAAGAACATAAAACTTTCATCGTTACTCAATGGAATATGCAGATGATTATGGTTTCAGTGCATGTGCACATCATGGATGACTGCAGCGCTCCTTGCAATCCGTATATTAAAGGGAAGAAAGATTGTCGCTTTGAATAATGTGAATTTTTCTTGTGATATTTTTTGTGTGTGCATGGCTCATTGAAAAACACAAGCATCATCTGAACACGTTTTTCCGAGTTCCACCAAGGCAGAGTCATTGCATACAGAAATTGCGGATTATCCTTCCAAGAAATCGGTGGTCATGTCAGACATAGCCAAGCAACAGTCATGAGAACATCGAATCGGTGTATGCAGAAGGGAAAGACTCAAGGCCACGTACAATTTCAATCACCACTCCACGGGAAGATAGGCATATTGTGCGCATGGCACTGGTGGATCACACTACCACATTCACAACCATATCACAAAGAATGCAGTCTGTAACACAACAATCTTTGTCTGCCTGAATAAGTCGATGTCATTTACAGCACAATGGATTGTTCGCTAGTCGTCCTTTGCTTCGCTTACCTTTAACATTAATCCAATGGCGTTTCAAAAAGTGAGCTAAAGGGCGGAGATGGACATCCAAATGTTATGCATTTCATATTGGTTCTGCACCCGTTGTTATGTTATGGGGTGGCATTGTTTCCCATTCCTGCACCTCCTAGTATGCATTATCAGCACACTTTACCAGCCAACGCAATACGTATCTATGAGGCTTTGCAGTGTGCTCTCCTTAATTATATTCAGGGCTTACTTGTAGTTCCATTTGAACAGGACAATTGCGCGTACATACACTGGTGTGCAAAAATTAAGGACGAGACGATTTTTTCAATATAACTTTGTACAAAAGCTTTCCAAATCAACACATTTAATACCGTAAGATCCCCAATACGTAAGGACATGAGTAATGTAAGCAACACTTACTAAAAGAGAAATCAGAGGGATAAAAAGAAGCTTTATTGAAAAAGTAGCATGGACCGCAAGGCGACTGAAGGCCGAAACATCCCTGTGATGGGTGTCCAGCAAGAAACATCCGGTCTTTAATAGGGTATATGATCTCCCCTGACTGCTAGGCAGGTTTCACAGCGTCTGCCCATGCTGAGAATGAGGGTGTCAATGAGTTGTTGAGGCATTGCTGCCCATTCGTTTTGCAGCGCCAATCGAAGCTCCGGAATCGTTACTGGTGGTAAGGTACGAGCTGCCAAGCGTCTGCCTAGAAAATCCCATACATGCTCGATGGGATTGAGATCCGGAGATCGTGCCGGCCAATCCATACGTTCAATATCCTCACTCTCTAAGAGCTGTTCGGCAGCGACTATGCGATGACATGGCGCATTGTCGTCCATAAAAAGGAACTGCGGACCCATAGCGCCCCTAAAAAGACGCACATATGGAAGAAGAATCTCTGAACCTGCGTCGAAGATGTGAAGGTCTGTACGACTACTAAGCATGATGCCTCCCCAAACGAGAACACCGCCACCTCCATACCTGTCCCTTTCAATGATGTTCGAGGGATGATTGCGGCTTCCCCGCTCTCTCCAGATGAGTATGCGATGAGAATCGCTACTCAGACTGAATCTGCTCTCATCTGTAAAGAGTACTCGTCCCCATTCATTGTCTCTCCAATTCCGGTGTTCCCGGCACCACAGAGAACGCCTTCTCCGATGGGCAAGCGTTAGAGGTACACACCGTACAGGGCGTCGTGCAAACAGACCACCACCGTGCAGTCTTCTTGCCACAGTAAAACGCGATATCGGTCGTCCAGTCGCCTGTGTCGTGTGTCTAGCGATTTCTCCCGCTGTCTGCCGCCTGTTTCTTTTGGCCTCTAAGGCAATATACCGGTCATCTGCAAGTGGTGGTTCCTCATGAACGACCACTACTAAACCCCAGGATAGCTGTTCCTGTAGTTTGAAATTGTCTCCAAAGTCGTGAAACGATGCTGTGAGCAATTCCGAACTCTGCAACCACACTTGTCACACTGCGGCCTTCCTCCAACTTCCCAATGATTCGACCTCGGGTAAAAGCATCCAGATGTCGTCTAACAGATTGATTATTCGCCATTTCTCGCTGAGGCAGCAACTCGGTGTGATTTTAACTGCTATACGGCGTGCAATCTCTTTGCCCAGAAATACTGATCTTACAATGACAACTTGCTTTATACTACTCAGACACTACCCCATTACGTCTACCTGCATATCTGCGCATGTGCTACCGTACATCACCTTACTTAATCTCCTGATTGGTCTTTCTGTCCGCTCTGCCTCTTCGTTCAGCTGATATGCTAATTTTTCGACTTCGTCCTTAATTTTTGCACACCAGTGTATATTGCACGCAGTGTTTAAGCCATCATCTTGACGCACTATATTGCATTGTTATCCTGGCCCTTCCCGTTCTCCAGATATATTGCTCATCGAACATCCATTAACACATCCAAAGCTTCTTTCACCCAATGCCGCAGCGTATAGCAGCGGTTATTGACAAACATGCAGGCAGCACTCATTACTAATTATTTTCGTCTTCATCACCTCAAAGAAGGCTGTATTCAATATGGGCTTTTAATTTCATTTCCACCACGTATTTAACAACTATAAACAGTAGAACTGAAAAATAAATTTGATATCACATTCTAAGAAAAATTATTATTCTTTATTTTACAACAAAGAAATAGTGGAGGAATAAAATTTATGCTATTTCTTCAAACTTGTTCATTATAAAAATGTAAAATTTTTATAAAACATAATGAAGTAATGCTTCACCTTTATGATGTTATTATTTAAGTGTCTCAAAAATTATTAGGAAATCGTCTTTTATCTTTATTCTTAAACTAAATAAATGGAAACGCATATTTACGTCCGTGAAACAAGATTAAGATAAATATCTTGATTTTATCATTATTACACGAGCAAATAATAGTTTTGATGTTCTGTAAAATTTTTGTAATATTTTATAAAGTTTTACTGTTTTCCTAATAACATTATTTTTTTTTTCCCAGATCCAAGTCGTAACCGATATAGCTAACAATGCGGAAATGAAATTACCACTTCAACCACTTGTATATGCGTTAGCATTAGGAGCTTGCCTAGGAGGTAATTTATTTCTCTGTGCAACAGTTTAATTAATATTTTCTGTTCTTGTTGCATAGTTCTCACATACATCGATTCCACAAACGTCTTACCTGTCCTTTACATTCTCAGCCATTGGTCGTGTCTGCACATAGATGTATTTCTGGTAGTATGTTTTTTAAATTAAATTTGAGTTAAATTTGAATTGTCTCAATCCACAGACAAATACATCTTTCAGGAACATGACATGTTTTTCACCTAACATTTTTTTTTCAAAGATACGTACGTGCATGAGGACACTTATATTATAAATGAATACATTTTTGGACTGAAAAACTCGGTGCTACTTTGATAGACGGTTGCACGGATTTTTGGCGATTTACGTTGGCGCAATTGTTGGCGCGGTTTTTTACAATCGTCAGCCATCTTGAAATACGCTGTTTTTTTTTACGCATAGTAAAGTATTCGAAACTTGAAAAAAATAAATATCGTTAAAAGTAATTGATTAATCTTTTTGTTGAAAATGTCGTTTTTTTAAGAATGCAGGCAAGTGTAAATAATGCATTTACTATGAGTATAAAATACTAAAGTAAGGTTATTATTACTTTCATATAGCAAAGAAGAGAATAAAAACACCGCTATAAAAAACATTGTGCCAACGTTTTAATTAGATTAAAATATTACTTAAATTGAATATCGAATTAAAAACATTAAAAAACACTAAATTTAAATACTTTAAAATACGTTTAATTTTTAATGCAACTGTCCAGCAATGGCGATTTTTCTTTTGGCAAGTCGTATTACTCGCCAAAAGAAAAATCGCCAAAATCCGTTCAACCGTCTACCAAAGTAGCACCAAAAACTCTCTAAACTCTTTATAATCCCATAAGCCTAACCTGTGTTATAAAAATATGACCCAGCCGCTCGCCTATAACATTCCAAAAGGATTAAAATATAAAGCTTCATAAATGAGATTTTATTAGTATAGTATAAATATATAGTTGCGTTTTGAATTTCATAAATGCACGTGAAAGAGGGGCATGCTGTGTTTATATGATTGAACAAGGAAAAATATTCCATACTAAGACAGTCATGTAAGAACGAGTTTTTCAGAAACGTATAATCGAAATTGATATATAATATATATAAAATGTATCAAAATAATGCTAAGCATGGAAATATTATCTGATAAAAATTCAGCAATTTTTTCAAGATCAATTTCATTCTTTTATTAAGATTGTAATCAGAAAAAAAAAAAAATCTGTGTTCTAGTGACACACAAGAAAAAATATTTGCTTTAAAAATTAAAAAAAAATTTTAAAAACGACCACAGCCGTCAAAATAAAAATGCTGCTATGGTGAAACACTGCTACGGTATGAAGCCGAGTGTAAAATTCTCATCTTTATTTTAATGGGAAATTATATCAGTGATGTACTATCGATTCATTCCCTGTAATATCTTAGACCCCTTTACTGGATTATTTTTAAAAAATTGAAATTTTATATTTCGTACCAGTGAAACAAAAATATTCTTTAGGGTTAATGTTTTTACATCCGTTTTCATGTCATTATCTAGCAATACAAAATAATATTCGTTCAAAATTAAAAGAATACTAACATTTGTTTCGTAATCTCTAGAAACGACGGACATATTTTAATGAAATTTAGAATGGACATAGATTAATGTAATACAAAAAATATACCGCACGACAGTCATGATATTAATACATAATCATGTCTAAGGCCTTTTGTGTGTGCATGTTTATCGCAAACTCATAGTCATTTGACAGTTTAAAAAATTCATTAAATTAAATATTGCATAAGATGCTACAAAACTGAAAGTACATGCACTAAAGCGAGAAAACTGGTTTTGACAGTGTCAATAACATTTCATGTTTTGGTGCTTAGACTTTGAAACGATGTTACGCCCCCTTCTCATCGATATCTGCCGCTTCTTATCGTGTTATCTTTGAACCTAAAGAATCCGTGTCTTCACATGGCAGACAGATTGCTTAGGTTGATTGCCTCTTTGGCCTAAAGTTAAAAAGGTAAAAGTTTACAATTGGGTGCCCCTTGTTTTTTGGCGATTCTTTTTTGACGCCAAGATCGGCGCCAGGAAGACACAATTTCAAGATGGCCGCTACACGAAACCAAAATAAGAAGTCAAAGAATTGCATAAACTCTGTGTCCATGTACACATCGATCTGTTTTCACTTAAAAAAACATCCCAGAATTGCACAAACTAGGCATTGCGCACTGTTTAAATTTGTCCACGTACACATCTATTTTTATTTAAAAAAAAAAAGGAGGCTAAAGCAAAGTTACACTATCATGGTAACCAGAAATACGATTTCATCGCCAAAATTTTACAAAATATTGTCGCTAATCGAAGGTGCACCCAATTCTACACTACAGCCGTTAAAAATATGCACATGATAACTTTTAAAGTAAAATTATTATGGAAAAGATTTGTTTTGAATAACAATAACCATTATCGGTAGAGGCATTCTCTTTACTTTGCATGTAGCATAGCGCACTCAGAATCTATCCCGCTGAATCATGCAAATAGCAAAACTGATTCTAATTTCTTTTATTAAAAGCCATTTAAGAATACAAAAAATAGAGCCCTCGCCAATTTTTCTCATTAGTTTTGATAAACATCTTTAAAGCCTGACAGATTTTTTGGAGTATATCATTAGCGTAACTGAAACGGCTTTAAATGTTTCATCCAAGTGAACACTTCCAGTTCTTCATGAATAGTGCTGCTTTCTGTTGATAATTTTTTAAACTACAAATTATAATTATGTATTATTGCTACAAAAGTCTATTTTTAGGCACGCTGATATTTTTTAAAACGAAGTATCGAAGCGCTTCTTCATAGCTGATAAATGCATATTTGATTGCTTCATACAAATATTTCTTTTTTGGTTTAATTTTTTTTTCAAATATCATTTTCCAACTGTGTAACCAGTTTTTTTTTTAATATTATTTTCCAAGAGTGTAACAAATCTGCAGTATCTACTCAATCTGAAAGATGATTATGGACTTTTTCTTATTCTCTTAAACATAATATCCGCTTTTTGTTTCATGTATATAAGACTAAGTTCTAAATATTTTAATGTAAAATTTGTATTCTAATTTTAATGTACCATTATTCTGTTGGTAGTATTATATGTTGCGTAATTATCTTATTACACTTTAGTAGACTGGCATTACTAGGATGTAATAAACTACATCAAGTCCAGAATAGTTCATGTTAGAGAATATTTCCCCCCTCACACACACACACACAGCGAAATTTTGATTATTCAATGGAAATTACTGTATCGAAATGGCCCTAAAATAATAAATTTCCACTTCGGTAAGTGTTTGGCTAAAAAAGCACACATGAAACATAGTTAGAACAGGCTCACATCTTTATCCGATTGCCATAATATTATAACTAAACAGTATTTTCCTCACCATTCTTCTTCTTCTTCTTCAATGGCCAGACATCCCAGGATGTGCCCTTGGCTTCCTCAGAATTGAATTCCAAGCTCTTCTATCCCTCGCCATGGACATTTAATTGGTTATTTTAAAAATTCTTAAGTCTGTTTCCAAACAGTCGAGCCACAAGTTTAGGTCACCCTCTTTTTCGGGTGCCGAATGGTCTGGCCGAGAAGATCTTCTTAGTTACCCGATTTCATCCTTTGCCCAGGTGTCCTGCCCATTTAATTCTCTGAACCCTTATATACATTTACTATATCTATTTCTTTAAAGGATTGATAGCGTTCAGAGTTAATTCTTCTTCTCCAGATATCATTACATTTTATGCCACTAAAAATACTTCTCAAAAATCTTTCTCTCAAAGACAGAAATGATACTTTTAGCTTTTTCTGTCATTACCCAGGTCTCAGCAGAGTATGTAAGAATGGGTCTGATTAAGCTTTTGTAAATTAAAATCTTCGTTTTCTGTTAGTGAAGTTAGACTTCAAGTATTCCTTGAGACCGAATAAACATCGGTTAGCATCTGTGACTCTACTACGGATCTCGGGCATTAATTACCATTATACAAAAGGTAAATTTAAACCGATACAATTAGTATTCATTTTCAACAATCTCCCCACCTTGCAAAATGGGAATTTTGCAAAATAAATAGAATTTAATTAAGACACAATAACACGCTGAATAAATACTAATTCAGAAGTCAAACAACAAAAATCAGCTGCTGCTTTTTCTGCTGCTAAAATTATTCAAAAAACATCTTCCATTGGAGAACTGGATTTTCTAGAGGCATTTCACATTCATAAAAATCTTTCTATTCTAGTTAACGATCCTAATTCCAATCCAAATTTGCCTTCAGCTTTTAGAGAAATTATGTTTAGTTCTGGTTTCGCCAACAGATGGCGCCACTTGCTTATTCTTGTCCAGGCTTTCTTATCTTATCTAATCATTATTTCCTATCTTGTTCATTTGCGGTTTTGCAGCTGAAGATGGTGGTTCGGTAAAACCATCGAAACTAGTCCTGTGAAAAAATTTGCAAATATAACGCTGATTTTTGTTGTTTGACTTCTGAATTAGTAAATACAACTTAGTTTAAACTTCAAATAAAGTTTTCAAAGATTTAAATTGTAGGTAAATTTTATAAAATTCTAAATTACTAAGTTAGTTTATAAGTTCAGTATTTGTCGAGGACGCACTTCTCTAGATAGACGATTTTTCCTAAAAGTCTAACCCCTGTTCTTTGATGGTTGTAGATACAGTTTTTTGATCGTTTTGTTTTGCTTGAGAAATCTAGTTTCTTACATTAATCGTTGTAAAAGGATGTATTTTCGAGTTAGTGTCTAGTTCAAGAGGAAAGAGGTGCTGAATTGGCCTAAGTACAACTCCAGAAGATGTTTCCAGCTTCTCAAGACGCGTGGTAGCATATTTACTGATAATCACTTCACGTATACTAGTCTACATCCAGACTAGAATCTACATCTGCGGACATCATCTATAAACGCATCTACTACATCATCTACAAACGCAGATGTAGACTAGTCTACATCTGCGTTTCTTGTTATCATTTCCG